ATATGCGACAAGGCGAAGACAGAAGAGTCATGAAAACTTTGGACCTTGATCGAAAAATAAAAAACTGTCGGATTCTTATTTCACATTGTGGCAAACGAAAAAAGTTAGCTTGCCCTGTGTTTTAGTCGTGGCTTCCATTAGTTCTCTCTGTGACAAGTATCTTTCCCAATTTGCGACGGAGAATAGAAACTGAACGAAACCGTAAATTTACATAGCTGGATCGAAGAATATCGTGAAATTACTTAATCAATTACCATTTTCACTTTCCCCCTCTGGTATTTAACGAAAAGGGCTGAGAAAGATTGAGGAAAATATTCAATTGTCTTCGCAGTGCTTCTGATTGATGCCTCACACAAACCCTGATTTGTTTAGTATCGAGAGACAAGCAACGTAGGAATGAGAAACTAGTCATATTCTGCTTCGGCAATCTGTTTTCGAACAAGACCGTGAATTTTTTACCAAGCGCGTTTGCAGGCCAGCAAGCCAAGGCTGAATAAAAAAAATTATCGCTCACATTGATCGCAAATATCAGGGTTAACAGGATCAATGACAGCCCGCCAGCGGGATAGAAAAATAATTAACTAGCACGCTTTTGCAGTCCATACGAATTTCCGTCGCGTGATTAGTACATTCTAGATAAGCGCCAGCTGCATTATAATAATTGGATTATCCAATTGCTTTTGTTATTTTATGCTTTCCCTCACTTGTTGTGAGGTCCTTTTAGATGAAAATGTTACCGAAGTGGATGAGAAAGAAAATGTAATCGTCGTTCTCTGAATTATACGTGATCCTAAAATTTGATCCAGAGTGCAACAGAGTCTGCGTTAAATAACTTTAGGGCCCCCAATCAGTCAGGCCTACCCACAGACAACAAGGAGTTTATTCATCAGCTGCCTCGGCCGTTTAATGAGATTTGGTTTGAATAGAAATAACAATACTTGACAGCAAGTATTATCCTCATTTCTTAATATAGAAAAATATTGTGGGAAAGCTCGGCGCGATGAGAGCAATTCCTGTTGCATAACCGGCTTAATTTTTTTCTTTGAACCCTTAACTCCCATGAGAGACCAAGACAGAATTTCTCCCTACAGTGTTAATACAATATCAAGCAGACAAGTCATGAGAATAAAGAAAAATATCAATTAGAGGATTATCAGTTGATCGAATACCCAGTTCTCTAAACTTACAACATAAGAATTGTGTGGCAGACAGAAAGGAGAATTACTGATGAGATCTTGGGAGTAGAGGGCTCAACATTACCCTGGTACACCTAAGATAATTTTTTTTGGCACACATATATAAGTATCTTAAGGACTGCAAGTCAAAGTGCGCTGGCTCCTCAGTTGCAGTTAACAAGATGTCTTGGGTCTGGATTTTGACAATAATACCTATAACTTTTCAAACCGCACATGAATTTCGGGTTAAACTTCCTAGAAGATGCGAGGAAATCTCAGTTCCCTTGTGCGTCCGTGTTTTACCATACAATTTCACCCGCTTCCCAAATTTGGTTGGCCATCGCAGCCAAGTGTTGGCTAGACGATCCATAGACTACTACAGCTCGACGTTTGTTGAAGACGCGAATTGTGCCAAGCATGCCGCGTTTTTCCTCTGTTCCTTCTACCTGCCCATTTGCTTGCCAGGAATTGAAGAGGGCGTCATTAAACCATGCCGATTTTTGTGTGAGAAAATCAAGAAGGGCTGTCCCGCGATTAGGAAGCAGTGGCCAAGTTTTCTGAGGTGTGAAGAGCTCCCCAAGTTCTCGGATGGAGTGTGTGTTCAACCCATGTCGTTTGTTCCCGCTCATCAGCCCGCAAGTAAGTCGCTATGTACTCGTTGAGCAGCAAAATCTGTAAATATCGAGCCAATTATGGTAATCTGTCGAAAAATCGATTACTTTTAATTTTTTTTGGGAAATAGTGATAAGATAGTGAAGATTGCAGTTCGTCTCTTTGTGTATCTTTAAGTCTCTTTATTTGATTTATCTTTGAGTGAACCAAGTTCATATTCTCCGTTTGGTTTTCTATCGTAGGATCCAAAATTGAATCCTAAAGGTTACTACTCTGAACTCACCTCGTGTTCCGAAACTAAACCTTCAGCGGACTTTGGACACATTATATGGACAACAAAACTCTTCCTTTTTCACGAGGTCCTAATTGGCAACAACATTATCAACAACTCCAAATAGTATCAATCCTTCCTGGTGAATTTTTAACATTGACCTAAAACATACCTTTGGAATGGTCCGTGGTTTCTTTTCTCTGCTGCTAGAGAAAGGCAACAATTCCAAATTTGTCAGAGAACGATCAGACACATGTAAACATTATCGCGATCTTCTAATCAAATGGTAGATTACCACCAATTGAGACTTGTAAGAGGAAAATTAGAACGATTATTATCTTAAGTTGTTGTCAAGATTTTGATGCATTGAGACATGAGAAGGAACTAATTATGAGGGAAATCGGTCAAATGATTTTCATGGAAGGTTATTACTATCATTATATCAATGTCACTATATCACTGCAACTATTTACTTGCATTTCCTTCGTCATTGACATTATCAATATCATTCTGACTATTGTCATTAAAACTTTTTCATCCATTAAACGATGTTAGGTGATGTAAAGGATGACTCCTGTGGAATGGAGCTTCCAGTTGATTACCAGCATTACGCCAGCAAACATTTCGATTATGGTAAGGAGGTTTATATATCTGCAATTACTTTATTACATGGCCTGTGGCACAAAGGTACGCGAGCGAGCGAGATGGCCTCATTTTTCACGATCGAGATGGTGCTATTTGATCGGTGAGGCTAGAACGTGCTGGTAAACGGCTGAAATAACTCGATACGCGATAATTTTGTTACAGGACAAGAGTTTTCAAGTGGTTTTACAACAACAGAGTCACAAAAACATGCCTTGACACTCAAATAAAGAAAAGCACTCCAAGTTTCGAAAAAAACAACCGGCGATTCTTTAATTTAATTTTTTGTCATATTTTGAATTCTTTTCTGACCATTCTCAACTACTGTAGCCAGACAATAGCTTCGTTTTCTCTTCCTCTCTCTTTCTTACTCTTTTTTCTCACTTACACCCAAAAGGATGCATTACTGGTCAGTAATTTCATATCGTGACTGGCGATAGAGATCGCATATATATTAATTGCACTCGATCCCGAATTAGTATAATCTTTCCGCCTATGCTATCAATTCGCCCGCAAATTTAAAGTATCCCTTAAAGTATCCATGAATAAAGGGGGTATGTTTGTAAAGAAACTGTAGTTCTGCGTCGGCAAGGGATGTAACAAGATAATTTTGTTATCAACTGAGTTGATGAGTTGATATGAATCGCCATCTTAAAGAGTTGTGAAGCTAGTTTTTCAAATGATAGCCCTTCGACAAAGCGAATGACACGTTCTTACACTACGTTTATCTATCCTTTCAGTTATTAAGTTCAGAGTGATTCTGTTGGAGGGAGTTGGAAATAAAGGAACGATAATCCACGGAAAAGTTGCCAGAGTATTCAAGCAAGGAAACAAATTAATTCACACCGGCCGCATAAAGATCTGGAGCAGTACTAAAAAGCTTTGCCCCTCTATTAAAGCGAGAAGAACGTTTCTGATCTGCAGCTATGAAAGCGCGTCAAGGAAAAAACTTGTGCTGTCATCGTCAAGTGTAGTGTTGACGTGGAACGCACAGGCTCTCAAACAGATCAGAAAGTGGCTGCGATATGAAAGAAGAATGAAGCTGACGGAGTAAGCTTATACATTGAAATGATGACGATGATGCAGAAGGTATAGTTTTGTGATTTTAATTTATCTTCCCGGTGAAGCGAATGCAGCTTTCACTAAGTGAAAGCTGTTGACTTCAAGTTTCTTTATCGCCACTGTTTCAAAACGCTTAAAGCTGGAAAAAGAGATACTATTTAAGAGTGCCTATGGGTCTCTCCTCGACATGTTAACACTTGGTTCCGAAAAAAGGTCAGACATTGTTCATAATTCTTATTCCTCTTTGATCTCATTTGGATCAGTTTCGGCTGATCTCAGCCTGCTTTTCAGCAACTATGAGTCGCATACGAAGTGAGTAAATCACGCTGAAAGGATTACTCGGTAAACTTTACATGAATTCAATCCGCCATTTCCGGATTAACTTTAGCTTTTTTTTCAAAACGAAGCCTGGTGCTCAACCATTCGTAAGAAAATCAATCTAATTTGCATATGAATAAAAAACATATTTTCATATGAAACTAGCACCAGGACTCGCTTTGAGAAAGAGGCCAAAGGTAATTCAGAAATGGGAAATTACCCTAATCCTTGAATTTGTTTCTTTCATGTTTTGCAGCACGGTGCGGTTAACCTCAGAAAGCTTTGGAATGTTTAGAGAAGTCTGCATTAATTCAAAATCAAAACACGTTCTAATATAAGAATAACATGATACGACAACGTTCCGGTCACTCGATATACATATCAGTCTTGCAAGTTTGTTAAAAAACGCGATTTTGAACAAGACAGCGTTTTTGCAATCTGATCCCAGAGTCAAAGTAGTAAGTTTAACGACAAAGCAGAATTTTTGACACTTAGTAAACTCCACTTCTGTAGTCGATTTGAACAAGAGAGGACGAAGCTCTTTTGATGTCTAGCAAAAGATGCAAAGATTAAAAGAAATGACTAGCAAAGTTAACTCGATTAATTGAAGCATTTTAAACAAGAAAGTGGAAAGTAATTTTGCAATACAATAAATGAGAGCAAATTTCAATTGAGTGTCTAAAGTAAATCGGAATTGAATAGAGGGGGTAAGTTTCTAAATAGACTATGGTACTGCGTCGGCGAGAGTATTATCAACTGAGTTAATAACGTAAATTGGCCACCATAAAGAGTTTAAAAGCTGGCGTTTCGAGCGTTAGCCTTTCGTCACGGCGAATGTTAGCTTTAAAACTCTTTATAATGGCCAATTTACGTTATCAACTCAGTTGATAATACTAAATACTCTCTAATCCGGAATCGGTTTAGTTTTACTGTATTTCGTTATGAGATTGGTCCTGAAAACTATTGCCATTTTCTCAACCAATCAGATTCAAAACTAAAACCAAGCACGACTTAGCAAAACTAAAACCAAGCACGTGTTTTCCCACGCTTCTAGTAGCTTGCTTGTTCTTCGAGTTCCCGTTGTCTCCTGGTAATTTTCCTCGCTGTGATTGACTTCTGATTTATTTCTGAGTCATTTTAAAATACGTAAGACAATGAATATCACTTATCAGTATATTTTACATTTGAATTTGAAACGGTCCACGAATAGAATATCTTTGAAAGATGCCTAAACTATATCTTATACAATAAGTTATTTATTCAGTCGAATAAGCATTATGTAGCCGGTTAAACAACAGTTTCCATTTATGACCTGGAAGAGAGAGAAAAATTCTGATTAAAACCTATGTGGAATTCAGAATCTCAGCTGCAACTGAAACCTTAAAATTCAGTGAGATAACACAGCTTGCCTTTTCCTGTTTTTTTTTTTCTTGGAAAGCCTTAAACAAACAACTACTTAATTTTCACAATAAGATTATAACCCATGAACGGAAATACATCGCAAAAACTGCTAAAATTAAGTTTATTTTGTAATAGGAAATCGTTAAGAAATATTTTTTTAAAAACATGTATTTAGACGATTTGACAAAGGTCATAATTAAATCCAAATTTAAAGACTGATAAGAATGCAATGTTTTAGTCTAATATGGCTGATAACATGCATTTCTGTTACTGACAATGTGATTTTACGCAGTAAAATGAAAGTTTCATCAAAGGCCTTGCCTTAGAAATCTTTATAATCTTGTGGGGAAGGAGGGGGTAATATTTGTAATTTTATACTTGAAGGGGGAGGGGGTAGAATTGGGAGGTGAGGTTAAAGCAATAGTATTAATTATACCAATCTGCTGAGTTGACATATGGGTTGTTTCAATTCCGGCTTTCTCTTTACGAAATGACACGTTAGTGAAGATGGGTTGAAGAAGGGAAGAGTGAATCAGTTCTTAAAGGGAAAGCCCTGGAAATGAAGAGGGAGATCTTTAAATAAAAAAGATCCTAACCGCGATCTCTCTTATGAATTATGGGTAATGCAAAACTTATTGCTGAACAAATGACAATATATAAAAGTTAATACTTACTAACAGAAGCCACAGGAAAATTTGCATTGTTTCATCATTACAAACGGCTTTACATCACAAGCATCCTCCAGTGCGATCTCATAGAAACAGTAGTATTTGTCTGAGCTATCTTCACAAGGAAGAGACCTTAGACTTTCTGTGAGAGAGTAAGAAATTTTTCGTTTTAGAATAACAGTGTAAAAGCGGCGGAACCCAAATACTTAGAATTAAGGAAACTGAGCCATAACAATGTCAGGGAACGTTGTGCAAACCACAACGGTAACGGCAACAAGAACGCGACAAAATAAGAGATCGGCCGGTAACTACGGTAATTACATGCATAAAGCGATTACAAACTCTTGCATGCGTCCATTCGCGAAATTCTTACGAAAAGTACGACTGACTCAAATTCATTTCAAAATCGACGTCTTCCTCGGCGTTGCTATCCTGCCCGCCTAAATACCCGTTAGAAAAAGTGACAACGAGTACCGGAAGAAGAAAAAAGACGATGAAAGTTACAAGGACTAAAGAAGTGGGAAGGATTCCTAACATAGCAAACGTATTGCCTGACGAGCAAGGGTTCACTAATACGATCCAGTGAAGAGACCGCCATATTGGATGGGTAAGATTGAGGGAAGCTTGGGGAGAGTAAAAACTGGTCCTAAGCTAGTAGTGGTGAGAAGAAAAAATATTTGCCGAGGGGATCTGGGGTCGGGCAATAACACATAATAATGAAGCTAAAAACTTTATTAAACGCTTGTGAAATAGAGGGCATGGTAAGACGAGACGGAAAAATATTTGGTGACCAAATTCATATAAAAACATGTGTTTGTAAACAGAAGAGCAGCCAGGTTAAATCAGTACTCAGTTAAAAATGGCGTTGCCTGGTTTTGAAAATTGTAAAAATGTGGAGCTTTTGGCAACTAATCTTTAAGTATTTTTTATATGTTTACAATTGCTTCTACAGCTGTCTATAATGTATAGGCATTGTCTTCGAAATCATGTAACTAAACTGAACAATTCTGTTTTACATTTTTGTGTTGTAAAAGGCACGTCACGACACAACAAGGTTCGGGATAGAAATAAACGATTCATCGAGTCTTTTTTTTAGACACTTCATGGCCAGCGTCTCCTTTAAATCGCCGAAAACGTTCAGATCATTTCACACGATTTGCTCGTTCAGGCAGAAAATTGAAGCGCAATTAATTTTATATTGACCGAAAACCGAAAACCGATGGAAGATAGAGCTAAAGGTTGGCCTAAAACGTTCAGGTTGCCCAATGATAACTTGCTCAAAAGTAACTTTTATACCTACCTTTATCTGCTAACGATGTTGGTAAACCAGTCGATAATTCCGTACAAGTTGCCAAGAATACAAGCAGAACAGCTAGACGGAATACTTTCGATGTCTTCATGTTACCAATTTTGATCATGCTCCTCGCGAAAACAGCTTGTTAGGAGAATTTTAACCGTCGGGTGTCTCAGGAGAAAATTTTCTCTGTCATAGGAAGCAAGGGTTTCCTAGCAAAAGATAGTGAAAGGATTTAGTTCTAATTATCATAGATTTTGTTTCTGCTATTGTGCAATGGAGGATAAAGCGAAGACTATTTGAAGAACGAAGATGAAAAAGTTAAAACCTGACGAAAAATTTGATCGAAGACAAGTTAATTTCTTATGCTTTAAAGCTTGTTCTTGTAAGTTGTATACACAAAATTCGCTTTTCCATTAAGAAGGCTGAGGGATCCTTTGACAGCGTGACTCTTTCTTAAACGGAAATTTAAACCCATGTTATCTTTCAAAAGCTTATCCGGGGGAAATTGGTTTCCATTATTAAAATATAAAAACAACTCCTCTTTTGAAAAAATTAATCATTCTATAACAAACTTGAATAGATCTATTGTAAAACTAATTCTCCTTTCAGCGTTACTGGCTCCATGATAAATATTTTTTAAGCGAGTTTGGACTCGATGTTTGGCACAAATTTAATATTTTCTTGACATTTATCATGCTCTTCATTTCATTTCCATATAAGAGATGCGTGCTCAGGAAAGCGGCGAGAATAAAGAGAAAAATTCATTAGAAGCATTTAAAGCTAACATTTTGTTTGATTTTCAATTCAACAACATTAGACAGACTTCCGTCTGGTGATGACATCCCTCTTAAAAGCGAGCTCACACTAATTTAGGGACTTGAAATTATTTTCTCAGGCGGAAAGGGTGTATGCTCGCTCTGCTTTTAATCGCATTTAATTTGGTAATACTTTTGATGTTTGTTTTTTTATTACTAGTTTTTTCTCATACAATCGATCATCGTTAATTTAAACTCGACCTATAACTCCCACTTCCTCGACGCAGAAAAAAAAAAAACCGAAGGCCATTTCCGTCGCAGGATATTTTCGAGACTTTTCTCAGCAGATTGCTGGAGCAGCCCGCTATTTCGTGCTTTTGTTGTTTTTCGTTAAATTTCAAGAAGAAGGGACCCTCCAATGCCTGGGAAAATCGGTCAATAATCTTGGCTAATTTGGCAAAAATATTTTGGTCGTAAAATGTGACTCGCGTCAAAGTAGGTCTGGCAACCGAGATGAGACGACGTCCGTGTTTGACGTATTTTATAGGCCTTTCTTAGCACAAGTTAACATCAATTCTGGACGCATATTGAATTGTGGTTACCATTATTCTTCAACTCTCTGAAATGGCAAACCAACATAAAATTCATTATCGTACAAACTGGTGATAAGAAAGTCAAAGAAAACTCAGTAGCCAAGTGTTTTTGCTTTTTTCTTTTCGATAAAGAACCATATTCCCCTCACTGATTCATAGGGAAATTTTTAGTGGTTAGAGCTGAGAAGTGCTTATCAGATCTTTGTAATTGATATGTTAAACGGGCACACCACAGCATTTGAGACCATTGGTCCGAAATGCAAATTTTTTCTCTTTGTGAAGTATTTCAAATATCATGGAAACTTGACGGTTCTAGCTTGTTCGTTATTCTAGCTAAGACGGCTTTGAAGCGAAGTTTCATTTCATAATATTACCATAGATGACATCACCAAATCTTTGTTCATTGGAGAGAATTCTTAACAAGTTACCGTTGGAGAACAACGGTCTCCTTTCTTGATAATAAACAGCTGCAGGTTAACTGGACGAAACAAAGTTCTGCAGAAAATTGTTTTCTTTGTTTTGTCCAATACTGTGCCAGTTTAACAAATTATTACAAGATTTTTACATATTAATTAAAGTTATTCTAAAAACCAACCAATTACGTTACAATTATATTCAATAAGAAACAATTATTCGTCCTCTTCAACACTCCAGCTTTAGCATTTTCCCACTGGACCGAAAGCCAGTATCTAGGTTCCCAAATATAATTTAATCAATCTATGGCGTGTTAGTATAATCGCGTAAATGATTTTCGACGTACGTGCCTTCTGATTGGCTGAGTATAACGTCACTGAAATCCATTCTGTAATCACCCTTGCGTGAAGTGATCATTAAATTGGAGGACTAACTCTCAAAATTTTTTTATTCGCAGAAAGAAATGCTTGAAGTTATCATAAAATTGGAGGCTTACCACTCAAAATGTCTTAATTCCTAGAAAGAAATGCATGCAACTTATCGTGCCGTAACAAAAGAGTTGGAGGCCTTTTTTTTCTTCTGGAAAATACACGTGAAAGAGAATTTTTTTGGAGTAAATTTTGAAGCTTGCAGCCGGCCGAATATGTACACTACAGAAAAATTTACCAGTCACACCAATAGTAATTCTTCAGGCGATAAGATATCTTTTTAGTATTATTGGCAGGCCTTGAAAATAGGGCTTGTTAGCTTTGATGACCAAATTAGAGTTGCTTCAACTGCATTTGGCATTGATTATGGAACTCTCCATCAAACAAGCGCGCTGCCAAATTGAGTTCGAGGGCAAACATATTATGTTAAAGTTTCCGGTTACAACTAGGAATACCTCGACATGGAACATTTATAAACATAATAATCTTCAAATCTTCAACTAAAAAGGTCAACAAGGAACGCATGAATATCAGTTATTATGTCAGGCGTAAACTAGAAATATCTCAAAATAGGTAAAGACTTTTGACACCAAAGCTGACAACTAGCGTCAATTTAAAAGCTTGCTCGAGTGGCTACTTCAATAGATTTACAATGGAGATGTTCCAACCGCGACAAAATCCTGTTAATGCCCGAGAGTTCTCGCATTAACAAAAAGAGTTGAAAAAAATCCGCAATATGTATAGCAGTGTTGTTTGAAAACACCTTGGACGATCTCCTAATTATCGTCTAGGTTTGTCCAACGACCAGAAGAAAAAAACTTAATATTCTTTGTGGGAAAAAAAAAACTGTAAAACAAAACTCATTGATACAACTAGATAAATTTATTAGTGAATCTTACCCTTAGTAGATGCGTAGCAGGTAGCAGTCTTTAAGATTGAAAAACTCTCTCATACATATGGTCAACTGCTGTGGCATTGACACCGACAGTGTTATTTAAGCACGTATTCAGCTTAAAAAGAATCACCCGAACCAATCACAAAAAACTTAGTTATCAACAGATGTTGAGGTAGACTTATCCGAACATTAATTACCAAAGCAATTAAGCTGAAAATATGGATATAGCCAGACAAAACATGATCAGAGACATGTTAGCCTTTACTTGAATATACTGATTTGTGTGGGAGGAAAAACTAAAAGAATAAACCCAAGCGGTTAAGCTCTTGTCAAAATTTGGTTTACATGCGTCAACCGAAATACTTTCTATAGAATGCGACTTTTTCTCCGGTAATTAAAGATGACTTCGCGAGAGTTCTTGATGATAATTAAAGTGTGTATCTTCACTCCTACTCATCACGCACAGTATGGAAGTCAAAGAAATACTCTTGATTACCTTGACAAATCACTTGACACAAAAGACTGGATTCATCTTAGACTTCAACAATACTGATAAAGCACTCAAACTCATCGCGTCAGAAAACTTAAGTGTTCATAGTTCGATCATACAGGCAGACAAACGGATTGCAATTGAACGACTAGTAATAACATACTAGCCAATCTATAGTTAATCCTCATTACCTTTATTAACAATCTCTACCGTAAAGTTTTAGTGGAACGAATATGACGGTCGTCTGTCCAAAGGTGATTAAGAAGTGAAACTTTAGCTCAAAGTTTCACAACCGCATGAAACAGGTCAAATTAACAAATGATGCTTCATTCAATTTTACATTTTGCTTTGAATTGGGTTATCACAAGTGTTATCGGTGGCAAATAGAGGAAAAACGAATTTTAACTTGTAAGTTATGGCTAAGAATGTGAGATAAACGAAACCGAACATTAATACCAATAAGAAAATGCAGGTGGAGGTTCTACAGCACTTAATCATTTTTTTTAAATTCAAAAATTACTCAATGCCTAGCTTTTCATTGTTTTAATTTTTAAATTTGATATATACCTGTTTTTACCGCGAAAACTCGAGAGAGAAAAACTGGTATCCCAGAGGCTTTCAGTCCAAGAATTCCTGATGGCAACTACTATCAGAAAGCTCTTCGAGAACTTTCGGTCGATGTTAACGATTCATACGAACATAACTCTACATTTTTCTTTTTAGTACCAAGAAAAATATAAGATGTCCCAGTTGTTTTACTTGTAATAGGGCAAAAAGTGGAAATATGACGCTTATGTTCTCCAAATTGTAGATTCGTGACAATTTTTAAAAAATATCAGCCTTTGTTGAAAAGAGTCCGTTCAAAGGCAAAATTGTTATCGATTATATTAATAAAATCAGTAATCAAAGCTCCAACACATATATTCCATTAAAGAATTCAAATTCAATTGTGCCTGAAGGAGCCTTATGAAATTGCAAAGGTCGAGCAGTTTCCTTTGAATAAATTGTGATCACGGTATCTTTCCAGATTTGAACGATATGCACGTGGTTCTAATCCGTTTCCTAATTGGTCATACGGGCTGACTTATCTGCGGTTACTGCACTAATTTAGCATTTGAACCATATCGCCATTAGCTTTGGATCGATTTTTTTCCTTTAATGAAAGGTGCTATATATGTATGTATATATATATATATATATATATATGCCACGTATGCTCCCCCAGTTCAGATCGATTGATAAGAAATTTTTTTCCAACCAAAATTTTAATTCAATCATTTATGATACTATTATAGCCGCAAACGCTAATCACTCGTACTCAAACTTTACTGGAACAAACTTCTGTTCATCGAAAATTTAACAAACTTGACATGACACATTGTTGAACATGGTAACTGAAAATAACAAAATTACAAACACGCGAATGAGCATAAAATAACTTACAACGTATGAGTGAAAGTACTTGAAAACGACAAAGCGAAATAAACAAGGACGCTCACAAGACGAATGTGACCAAACCAAAAGACGAAAAAATGAAACCCAAGGCACGATATGTTCCGATATGTTTCGCAAACTAGACAACTAAACAAATAAATAACGCGCGAACAGAACATACCGTATACGATATGCAAATAAATATAACAAGTACAAAACTGGTAACTGATAAAGGACACTAATAAAGACGAGAAACCTAACGCTTAACTCGAAACTATGAAACGACAACAACAACAACAACAAATAATAACAATACAAATTCTTGCGCCTACAACTATAAATTTACAAATTTTTGACGAATGTGCAGAGTCGAGAAACTTAAAAACGTTATTGAAAACCACATTTTACGTGAATATCTGCAGAACTAATAGCATAATTAAATATGAAGCTTTAAACCGTCCCCTTCCCTTCCCCTAAAAAAGAGATTTCTCGTCACGATCTCCAGATATTTTCAAACAAAAAGGAGAAGAGAAGAAAGTACAAACTTCAACTTTGGAATACTGTTTGACGAAACACAAAATTCCAGTGGTTAAAAGTACAAGATATGCATGGCTGAACGAATATTTGAGGGAGATTGGGAAACACTGGTGAGAGAACTAGAAAAAAGAACGGGTAAAGATAAGTCGAATGCAGAAGTTGACGAAGATTGCACCTGGTAAACTTTACCGTATGACAATTCCATAAGAGCGCTTTTCGACTAAGTGTCGTAAAATCAAAGGGAGGTAAATGCATCTTAGAGCCAATGAGAACAAAAACTAAAAAAACGAGCAAACAGCCTCAAGCGCGGGAAAACGCGGGCGACCAAGTTGTGAATGGTTTTAGTTTGCATTTGATTGGTTGTGACACGAGTTTTCTAGACCAATCACAAAGTGAAGTAGAGTTAAACCAAAGCAATCCCTGATTACTTTTGACACTTAATTGAAAATTGCTTTGTAATGTTATCGTTCTACCAGTTTCATTTCAACGGAGATTTCCACCAATCACGTCTAACTTAAGCGGCAAGCATAAATCTTTTGCAGTTTGCCTTTCAACCTTAAGTGCAATAATCATATTCTGAAAAATAATGCCATTTGTTGTGAATAGAAGCTATTTCTTTATTTTCTGTTCGACTCGCCCTCGGGAAACGTGCTAACCGTATTCGTTCTTTTCATTTTTGCGGTTGGGATCCGGCAAGACACATTACAATATATTTGAGACATATGTCTGTTATCTTCTATTTAAATGAAGTTTTCAAAGAGTGGTATCACAGGTCTGTTAAACAATTCACAAACGCAGCTTCAAAATTAACCTTTGAGTACTCCCGATCGCTGCTTTTTGTGTTTTGTAGCTATTTTCGATTTTTCGTTCATCAAAGTAGGCGTGCATATAAAATTAAACTGATAAAAAAGTTTATTTATTTAAGATCACTATGCACTAGTATACCTATTTGCTAAGAAGCGCTCCGGTTTGCTCGCGGGTTACTGACCTTCAATTCACTTAATCAAGAACAGCATCATATGAACTTATGCCCAGTTTTCCTTTGCTCTCGCTATTGTAAGATCTTCGCGAGAGCTAACAGCTTTTTCAACGAACTGTTTATTTTCAATGAATTTTTCTCCATATTTGATTAGCGGTTTTAAAGTGGAAAGGTGAAATTCCCCGGTTACCATAGACACCGCCATAAACTCAGACGTAAAAGCCGAGTTTTGATCAGGTATGTTTTTATTCATTCCTATGAACACAAGAATTGAGTAATGTTTTCTTTCTTTATAAAGTTCCTTATGAGAAAAAAATTTTAAATAACAACCAAATAAAAACAGAAGGCCCTAACCCGCACCAGGAAATCGTGTAAACATAAATTACTAATCATTTTTTCAAGGAAACTAGTTTTATTTGTACGTTAGTGGACCGACATTGGCTATCGTCACCTAACATTGGCTATCGTCAGCCAACATTGGCTATCGTCAGCCAACATTGGCTATCGTCAGCCAACATTAGCCATTGTCAATCACCATTGGCTATTATCAAAGACCCTTGATATGTTCATCACGGTATGCACCTTTAAACCCGTTCTTTTGAAATTGCAACACATTCCGTAATTCTTCCTTTGAAAAATGGTAGGTTTTGTAGCTGAAAAGCACGTAAAAGAACAGAGAAATTTTTACTGCTACGCGCATGTTTTTTATTATTTTACTACAATAAATTAAGATATTAGCAATGAATCATCCGGGATATTGATATCTAGTTCGTTTATCATTGATTGCTCTCCTCGGTCAGAAATTGTTTTATTAAATTAAGTTTACCTTTTACCTTCTCTCATCAATGAATACGTTTCAACATTTTCATTGTTTCTCACATCACGCGATCTTTTAATCTTCTGCATGGCCAAGTGTTGAAAAGTTTTCACCAAATCAGTGAATTGCCTCTTAGATTACGACTTCAGGTTTTAATTAAAATATCTTGTAAAAGATTTCAATATCTGTAACGAGGATGGTAAATGTTTTTTGAAATTGAAATTTACAGTCCTCGTTTACGTGATCATTGTGCAAAAAGTGTCACTGACATATCGACATTCCTGTTCCAGTGCTATTGCAGGAAATTTGCCGCCATATGGAACTACTTACACGGTGGCAGAGCGTCCGTCCGACCGGAAAGTCCTAGGTTCGAATTTTAGCGGGAATACTCGAAATTCTTTTTATTCGAGTATGCAGGTGTCATTTGCTGATTGATGTCATCTTTCATTTCAATTTCTGTTTACATTTTGCTGTGAAAAAGGATGTAGGCGGCATATGATGTTTTAACTTGGTGAATGACCACTATGTCAGAAGCTGGAATGCTTCGATAAAGATCCACTATGAATTCAACTTGTTCTTAAATAGTGAACGCAATTCGTTTGCTGATAACTACCGAAGACTTCTGGACTTAAATCTTTCAAAATTGTTTAAGTTATCAAAAACAACAACGAAATGTATACTTCATCGCTGTACCAATCTCACGGATTCGCCAGCAATATAGCACTGGGTTTAAAGACGAATTGAGTAAAAGTATCATGGACGTTATTCCTAGAATATTAGGCCGGAAAACGTTGCTCATTATCATTATGGAATGCGGCATGTAGCAACAAATGAGTAAAATGCACACGAGAAATGTGTTTATGGTAGATTTCCTCATTTTACGAAAAATGTTTTCTTCACTGGGCTGTTGTTGTTGTGGCTGCTGCTGTTGTTGTTGATGTGCTATCTGCAATCGATGGCGCCTAACAATGAGATAGATTTTCAAATAGACAAAAAAATTTACAGCTAGAGACACAAATGTTATGGAAGACAAAGATAGATAAAATTGTTCGTTAGTCCACAGCCTTGTACATGATAAGATACCCGAGATTATCCAAATTGCAATTACTGCCCAGGTGATACGAAGCGGCGTTACAACAGCTTTGTACCTCAAATGCAATTGAAGTGCGAGGAGGCGGTCGATGCCGATTGCCGTCGTGGTGGTAAAAGACGCAGTGCATAGAAAGATGCTTAGAAACTCAAACACTATTACAGTTCGAGAATGAAACGTTGCGTTTGTTAAAACCAATGTTATATAGAATGGTTCAATGAGCAAACCTACAAAAAGGTCTGAAACCGCAAGACTTGCTAACAAAACATTTGCTGCTGAATGTAAAGAGGGCGTCCTCCACAGCGCCAGTAGAATCGCAATGTTTCCGAAGGAAGCAGTGATACAGAAGATGACATTCACTGCACAAAATGCTATTATATAATGAAGTCTGTTTTCGTAATCTAATCCTATGACGGAGTCGGAGATTTTCTCGAATTTCGACGCACTGTTGTGTTCATAATTGTTGGAGGACTGCGTTGCATTAATCATCTCGTCTGCTTTCATCACAGCCCTACTTTTTCTTGGACTGTTTGTGTTGCCCGCCACTGTATATGTGATTTAAAAAATATGGAAAGGGACATTTAAATATTCATAGCTAACCTCCAACGTCCTCCTTCTTTGTGCTTTGTGTTCAGTTAAAAAGTAAACTTAATTTAAATTTATATTGCAGTTGACATGGGGTTTTCATAAGGACAAGAGGTTCCTCTTAACAAAATCATCCACGGAGCTGGATTGGCTTTCAATTTTGAATATGACCTCAAAGAAATGCAAACCAATACAGAAAAGTATTTTATGGAACCAAATCTGTGGCTTGTTTCATTCTTGTCTTATTTGTCATGGTCCTCCCTCGACAAGTATCTTCATTCGCATTTTAGAGATATGATTTAAAATACACTATTTTCATCTGTTTCACACTGTTAAGGAAGTGGCCATGGGGGATTGTGCTAGTTTCTAAATTTTTGAAAATTGTCGGCGACTGGTATCGACGATGTAGCAGCCATTTAGCGCATGAAATTTTTGCAAAAAACACGAAAACCGAGATTGAAAGGTATAGCGTCGCTCTCAATGAACAAGCATCTTTGATTAAAATATCGATAAAGGGAGAGGACATGTTTGTTTTTTCAGTAAGAGACTGAGCTCAAACTATTTGATTGGATTTCAATTATATTGACGTTACGAGTGTTAAAAGCTGATGATTAAAATGGTACACGTTCGTTAAAGTAGCTATCCAACGCAGCATAACACTTCCAATTTCGAATTCTATAGAAATCTGTAACCTTGAACGCAAAATCAAGGCACAATCTTTAGGGAAAGGAGTTATTTTTGTGTTAATTTACACGCCCTCTGTACATGATGATAAGAAACAGGCAGTAGGCTTCAGCAATGCATAACGATATTCTTGAAGGTCTTAATTAAAAATTTGTAATTTAATCTGAAGGCTGAAGAAAATTGAAAGACCAAATCTAACTAAATTAAGAAAATCCGTGATTGAAAAATTAACACCAGTCCTCTCTTCAAATTCACAAATTTATATGATAAAAGTCCGTTAGGTGGACATGAGGAATCAACTTTGAATAAGCCTTAACTTAACCTATTTCAATCTCAACTCTAAAAATCTTCGCTATGCAAATATTCTTCAACCTCATTCTCAGGTTCGCTCTCTTCATTTGCACTTAAATTCATTGCACGTGTAAATTTTTCAGCTCATTTACATTTTATGGTTCCTCGTGGTCTGAACTGTTTCACGCCACGGAAATTTAACGTCCAAATGCCAGAGCCAGAAACACTAAGGAGTTTCTTTGCTTATGCTGGCAGGCTTTACCGACATGGATTGACCTTTCACCACAACAAAACAAAAACGAGGTAAGAATGAGAATGAATTTCACTTGAAAGTTTTTGTGCGGCGCTGTATGAAGTTGAGACAGTTTTATATGAACGATGGAAGAGTCTCAGTCTAGTTCTTCATAACCAGTGCCGCTTTCAGGTCTCCGTTCATAATTTCGATAGCAAATTTCAATCTCAGTTAGTTTGTATTATTTGTATAAGTTCATCTAGGCTAGGAAGAAGTTTAGTGTAACGCATATTTTTCGCTTAGCGGTACATTGAAAGATCCCTAGTTGTAATGCAGGAAACATGATTAGTATTGCAAGTTCTTCATACTGTTCTATATACGTTTTCTATGGTACGTTCAAGAAGAATTTGCTTGATAATCAAGAGCTTCCTGACCTCGTCATCTGCACCTTGATTCTAATGACTTAAATCTTTGATTCAAGGATACTGTAAGGAGAAATTAGATGCTTATCACTTTTAGGGGTAAAAACGTTGATATTTAGATGAACCTCTTACATTCTTAAACTAGTATTGTGTAACTCATGGAGCCGAAACAATTTTAACTGTTTTTTTTTTTTGCACGTTTTAGATGAACTGCCATAAAGATAAATAATAACAAAGCATATGAGGAGACAGAGAGCGAACGAAAGCAAAGAGTTGCATTAAGGTAAGAGACATTCTTTAAAAAATAATAATAATAATAAAAGAACAGGTTCATAACATAAACATGTGGTTACTCTTCATGAGAACCTGTAGCTATATTAATGTATGTGGAAAATCTCAGTTGAACAAATATGCCAAAAATAGCTTGTTAAGTGATGGGCTAATTGTGGAGACCAGTTGAAAGTTTTCATTGCAGTGTGGAAAATAACTTTTCAAATTCTAGGCAGCAAAATGTTTAAAAGCCATTATGGCTCTTTTGATAGACCTCTTGAGATTGCATGTTTTTACCCATTTCGGGTCCCAAGGAAATTCTCTATCATTGTGAATCATACATACAAATGCACGTAAATAAGAGGAAATCTTAGCAACGCTAAAGAAGACCTCGATTAAAAAATGAATTTCTGCCTTTAATTAGAATTTTAAAAAATGGCTGCATTTATGGCTACCATCTCATACGGCACCACACCTCAACTTCAGCATAACGTATAAAAGAAGCGTTAAGTTCCAAATGGAAATTAAAATAATTTACCGTCGCGGTTTCGGTTCGCAGACAACTCAAATTGTGGTGATTTCACGTTGTTGTTTTGCACGGGACGGCTAAGAAATGTACAAAGTTTTAAAACGCACGTGCCGAGCTATTGTTCTGCCCATTAGTTCTTTTGTTTTTCCATGTCCTCGTTGCCGTCGCCGTCGTGGCTTGCTTAAGGTCTCTAGTGTTAAGGAAATGGTAAACAACACGTACAAGCTAAAGAGTTGTATTGTTCTGTAATTTGGAAAATTACAACAATTAAATTTTAAAAGCTAAGAAGTCAAGGAAATGCAACGAGATCATTTAAAACGAAGAGTAAAAAAAGATTATTTTGTACGGTAAAAGATGATGAGAAGCATTTTAAAATTTAAACTTTTCTCTTGATCGTCAGTCACTTTTAAGTTTTAATAGTTCGAGCTTATGAATTTTCGTTCGAAAGAAAATAGGAAATTACCTATAAACATGTTGATAAGATTTCTGCACAACCCCAAGCTTCATTATGCATACAGTTTTCGAAGACAGAAAACAGTGGCGAAAACAATTGATTGCTTTTGGGACTACCGCTTTGTTTTAGACTAGGATGAGGCTGTGCAGAAATCTTATCTAAAACTGTAATGGCCGTCTCTAGCTTTCGCGATAAATCTTAGAAATTCTTAAATATTTTTCCAATTTTTCCCAACTTTCCAAGATGATTTAATGAGCGACGGTATTTTAATTTGCATTAGATGACATTTCGTCACTAAGTTGCGCCACCGATAAAGAATGATCGGAATGTAAACAAAATTTTTGCCACATTAAAAATTGTGAACAATCAGCTTTATTGTTCTGAGACGCTAACTTTTTCATCCCAAAAATTTAAGTAACCTTGTTGCATGCCATTGAGAACATTTCAGTGCGGGAAATTGTCATTATTGCCGTAAATTCTGAAGGGCGTTTACGTAAATTAAGCGCAAGGGGAAGGCGTGTCTTCCAATCACGTCGTTCTAAATCTTCGATTACATGTGACGCACGCTTTGTTCGCACATTTTTGATGAAGGCAGAGACCGTTTATAGAACCATTTTGGGCGACGTAATTAATTAGCTTGAAAATTTAGAAACGCCTTAGTTTTAATAAAATAATATTTTGCAGTTCACACTCGTACGAATTTTCGTCCACGAGAAACGACCTCGGAAAGATTTTCGCATAACCTCATAAAATTCTAAAACAAAGTTGTCGTTCCTAAAGCAAACTATTGTTCTCGCCTGATCATTTGGATTGATCAACCAACACAGTTGGCTTGTTAGCTCAGTTGGTAAAGCACTACACCGGTATCGCAAAAGTCATGGGTTCAAATCCCGTACAGGCCTTATTTATTTTTTTATTTTTTATTTTTTTTCAGGCCTTCTTTTCACTACTACTTACGTGGTGTTCATAACTGCTAAGATCGCTTTCATATTCATGAGTTGATAATGTAAATTGGCCACCGTGAAGAGTTTATACAAGAGTTTGTAATCTCTTGAAATTAAGAAGGAGAATCCTTTACAACATCAGTATCCATCTTCTCCATACTCTTCCCTATACTTTTCCTGAGGTACTCGCAAGGAGAATTCGTTGAAAAATCAAAGCTTCATGGGTTTTGCGATCATTTCCGTTATTCTCAGGATTCAAGACAATATAAACAGTTGATATTCTCTTGCATGATTTTAATGAATGATTAAGCAGTATCCCTGTAAGGAGAAACTAGAAGCTGGTCACTCTTTGGGTTTAAAAGGTTTTTGGTAGAGCTTGGAGACGCAGATAATGAAGACCGCAACGCGTTACGCAGAATGAAAATGTCATCTTGTGGTGATCGTCAACTCTGAACAAACAGCTAGAGAGGCAGAGAAAAAGTGTCCATATCATGATCACCTTTATTTTGTAAGCAGGTTTTGTTCTTGCGTATTTTAACAAGCGTGTTTGTTTTGTCTTGCAGTTCTTTTAACGTCTGTTGCTGAAGCCAAACACAAGAAAGGTGAAACAGGAAAAGATCGAAAAATTTGAAAAGGAAAGACAGTTGGAAATTAATATTAGAGGTAAAACCTATAACTGAGCAAAGTCATCGTTTCGGGAGTAGCAACAGGATTGTTGTAAAACAAATTCAAAACGCTGTTGCCGAACCAAAACACCGTTTTACAAATTTTAGTCTCGTCAGGAATTAATCATATGCTGTCGAGGAAAATTTACAATTTCATTCAAGTTACTTTTTTTTTGAAGACTGATTTCGTCGGTAGCCTAAAATAATTTGGCAAGAACAAAACATTCGAATGCAACAGGTTGAGTTCATTAGAAGCACCAAAAGCGAGATATTTTTTTTGTGCGACTTGTAATTATCCTACGTCGCAAGATTTTTTTACTCTTTTCTGTTTGCCATTTCTTTGACTTTCTCATTACGAAATTTTAGCATTTCTAATGCATTGATAGATATCAGACATATTGTATTGTAGCTCAGTTCAACAACTGTCTTTGGAAATTTGAAAATGTTCCAACGATGTCAGTTATTCCTAGTGCTTGTCAGACTTATTCTAGTCTTTTTGTTAAAATGTTTTTCGAGAAATTAAATTAATCTTGGCGCTTTTCAGACTTTGTTACTTTGTCTTAGTTCTCGGTTGAAATTTACTTAGTTATAATGCATCTATACTTATCAATAAAAAGTTGTAGATACGGAAATAAATAAAACTTACAAGCAAATAAGATTTGTGTTTTCACTTTATTATCTTCCATTGCCTTAAAAATGATAAAAAATAATTGCGCTTTTAAAAAGGCCTGGTAACAAGTCAAAATATAGGCTATCTCTTTTAAAAAAATTTGCGTAGGGAGGGTTGCTAAGAGGAGAAAAAGTTCTGCGAATTTGAACAGCGTCTGGTGCAAAACAAAAAATATACAGAACTTTTAATGGGAGAAAATCAATCGCCTCAAGCGAGATTTTTTCCCGCCAAAAGACTTAGTTATTTTTTGGTCAACATCAGACACCATTCCAAAGCGCAGACTTTTTTTTCCATGGACAGATTTCCCGCCTAAAGATTTAAGAGTTTTTTTTTTTGACAAAAGTTTTTCCCACAAAGGGGACCTACTTTTTTTTTTTTCAAATTGTACCTAGGCCTTTCAAAAGCGCAAATTATGCAATCGATGGTTTTTGACGCAATCATGGCTCTCTAACACGCTATTTCTCTCTAACTCGTGAATTCAAAGAGGTCTGAGAAACTTTATTTAATTCAATACATGTCTTGAATCTTCTTGCATCACCTTTAGTTCAAATCTGAAAGAAAAAGAAAAAGAAATCATTTAGTGACATGTTTCCGCGTTTTCTCTTCAGAGAAGTGATCGCTGATCGCTAAGCGCTCTTTTAAGAAAATTCAGTTACCACTTGCACTCTACATCCATTTGTATCATTTATAAACTTCTTGATAGGATTTTTACGGCTCTTGTTACGATAAATTAAATCTTAAAAAACGAAAGAATATTAATTATTGTGTTTAAATCAAGAGAAAATAAAATCCCATCATTTTTCTTGGTTTAAATTTATGTCGAAGCAAGTAAGCAGTTTTGAAGCTAGTGGCATTGAACTACAAAATGATCCTGTAAATGGTCAGGTTTTGTTGAATTCAAAAACGCACAAAGTTTGAAGTTAACGTGAAAATATTCATCAATGACAAGCAAATTAAGTGCTGGAATATTTCTGTTCCTTCTTTTTTAATATTCGTTCTCCACTGCAGTGCAACGAAAAGATAAAACATCCATCAAATTAGAAGAAATGGCAGTGAAATTAATGCAACAATATTTAAGCTCAGTTACTTTGACAAGTTTCGACAAGTTACATCTATAATTTCCTCAGAACAGTTACCTCTTATTGTTGCAATAGCTAACATTTACTCTTCTTAATCCAGGGTTTTACTAGGTGGCTGCTGAATGCACTGATCAATTATTTTCAGTTTGTTGACTGATACATTGGGACAGAATGGGTTTTAAAAGGTTGAATTTTCTCTCTTCAGCGCCTGACTTAAAGCTAGTTCGTGACAATCATCACCTTGGGCAGAAATAATTTTAACTACACCAAAATTTATTTCTTTTGTATTTCTCTCAACCTTCAAATGATACATTTTCCATCGTTTGCCAAAGCAAATTTTAAATACGTGACCTTCTCAATACGTTGACAGAACCGACATTGTTACTTCTAGGCGACTCGAAACGCTTTTCGATTGAGTGCCATAAAACCACAACCATAGTTATCACTATGTCAATCAGAGCGAAGGAAAATATTACAAGGGGCTAATGAGAGCTCAAAGTGAAAACAAGCAAACTGCCCAAAGGGTGGGAAAACTTGTGCTACCGAGACGTGGTTGGTTTCAATTCTGCGTCTGATTGGTTGAGCGGGTTATGCTAGTTTTCCTGACCAATCACAGATCGTAGTGTAGTAAAAACATTGCAGTCCTGGATTACTTTTGAAACTTTGTACAAAATTAATAAATCGCAAAATACTAAGGTGGCTCGTCAAATTCTAAACTTTTCCGTGTCTTTCTTCCTCAACAACTGTAACCATCATTTTATTTAGCTTTCGATTCTTCGAGATCCACACGAGGTCAAATATCATTGCCAACGTGACGTTTAGAGAATTAAAACATTTTTATCCCTAACCTGCTCACAATACTCGTTTAACAAGACCTTGGGAAAATCATAAAGATAAACGTGTGAATGGGATGCATCAACACAGCAGATGCCTTAGAACTTTTGTTGGATTTTTTTTCTTGTCGAGTGACTATGAATGTGAATTATCAAAAGGAAATGGTTAAGTTACGAAGCTAAACAAGTCAAGAATAAAACAAACCACTTTAACTTTTCACGGAGACACATTTGGTATCATTCTGTTCATTGATGAATGCATTTCAGGTTTGCACTGAAGTTTCGTGAACCGCGGATTTATGCCATAAAATGTTAAGAGTGAAAAGGTATAATCTAAAACTAACCACCCATCAAATTGAACTAAGTTTCCAAAGTACGATCGAGTTAATCCAAAAAGAGTTTCTTTCTTTAGACTGAAATGTTTAAATGAATCACCTTTTTTTACTTAATTTTTAACTTACCAATATGCTGATCAATTCAAAGCTTCAACATCTTCCCCAGGCAACCCACAGGCATTTAACCGTCGTCCGTGCCCGGGGTGGGGAATTTAAACATTGCCTTGGTGGGGTGGGGGTTTGAACTAGCAAGAATATGCATGTTTTCAATTTTAAATATGGAGGAGTTTTAAAGTAAAGTCCGCTTTCAAGAGCAAATGGCTCAGGAAAATGATTACATCATAGAATGATGCTTGAGGTAATATCAAAAGGCGACACCGAAAGCTAATACGCGCCTTTGCTAATTTAATTCTGTTACATTCGTTGATCAATTGCAAACAAAGAACTGTTCAAAACAATTCTTGTTCGAGTAGAGCATTTGAACGCAATTTAGGCTTCTATGACGAGAGTTGGAACCAATTAATCTTCCTGAGTTCAAATACTAAGGGCTGGGGGAGGGGGGGGGGTGAAGTTGAAGCTACGAATTGATTGACACATTACGTATTGCCTTGTAACAAGTATCTTAATAAGAGATCAGTTTTATAGCTCGAGTGTAAAGTAATTTTGTCTAAGATTGTAAACAGTCCTGTCAATGATTTAGAGTGTGGTAGAAACAGTAGTGTTACTCTACACATAAATAGAACTCTTCACACGTCTCGACTAATTCTGACGTTGATCGCAGGTAATCATACAACTACAACATTTATTCAGAAACGCGATGAATATTTCACAGGTTGAACTGAAGTTTGACAGCGGCTCTCTTTGAACTAAATTACAGCGGTTGCTATCGCGTTGTTTTTTGGTTTTCTTCTAAGTGGGTGAAAAAAATATTAGCCGAACTCACAAAATTGTTTAAAAACTATTTAAAAGTCAAAATAATAAAATTATATAACTTACTTGAGTTCAGAGAAGACCATGCTTCGGTCACTTTACAACTTGACTCAGTTTGCTTGCCGTTGTCAGTTGTAACCTCGTTCGAGGATCGTTTCATACCGAATATTGAATTTTCAGGACCTAGCAGCATTGCAACTTAATCAGTCCAACGTTATGAGCATTTGGGACTTATAAGACGACGGTTTTTCTGACCAAAAACTGTTATTTAGGGCGAGTAACTTTAAACCAAGCAGGCTAGCAAAATTCTGAGCACCACGTGTGAAGATACTGATTCAACTGAAATGAATAATCACTGAGTGGAAATATATTTGCAATTCAAATCAAACATTCCATGAGCCTCGCTATCAGTATTCAAAATGATTATGTAAGGATGTGATTTCAGCTGATGAAAGGTTTTCTTCCTGAATAAACCTGTTAGGCAAATAATTCGCTTTTCGCATCTTTACTTAAAATTTCCACCGCCTTGTTTCGAGGTTGATCGAGGTTTAAATCTCTTTCTGAAAGATTCCGCAATACAAATAATGGTGCAGACGCAATACTAAGGGCACTTGGTAAATAACCACGCAAATTTTAATTGATAGGAACCCGTTTAATTGAACTTGTTTGAGTTGTTTTTTAGTGACACTTTGCTGAAGTAAGCTTTTCCGCATACAAGTCAAGACCACGCCCTTCTGAGCGTGTGAAATAGTACGCTTAAGAAAATCTAAGGTTTAAAGTGCAAAGTTTCTATCCACTTAGTTAATACATACAGTTGGCTTTTTAAGAATCCAACTCACAATAAACCTAAGTGTTTTTTTCATTTTCATTCTAGTAATTTGTCAGTTTTCACCTCGACAAATGTATCACTTTTTGATTAACCTTGAAAGTTTGAGTTAATGTGCGTCAACCCTAATCCCCTTAGTAGACACAAAATTTTCAATAAGCTTCCACAAAATTAATCCCAACCCCTTAAACCAAAAGTATATTGACAACCTTTCTCAGTAAAAGTCTATAATACTGAAGTAAATTTTCAGCAAATCAAGTACAAGTTCAGATCGATTACTCCGACTAAAAATGTGTGCGCATTTCAGAGCGTTGTTCAATTGAATGCTTATCGCAATCTGAGATTTCTTTGGCCTTGCTTTGTTTTAATCTGTTTGTTCTGAAAAGCTCTCGCCAGCCTCTCGCTACCTTTGTCCTGACAACCTCCTGTAGTTACTTACACTTTTTTTAATAACCCTCGTCGAGAGGTGCTCTCGAGTAAAACTCTAAAAAAGAACAAAAAAAAACCGACACGTTACTTACCTAAAAGTTTATCAGTTTTAAATCCTTAAATTTTGTAAAAAAGTGATCGGTTAAACGTATCCAATGACATCGATCTTCGTGTGTCTGTGCAACAAAATAGTACCATCGGTCTTAAACTTCTAAAGTGATAAAAATTTTCTTTCAATTTTGATTAAACTTAGAGTCCACTCAGTGACTGATACATCTTGTGCCTACTTGTAGGTTGAATCTATGTTTTTTTTTTCCTTTTTGATTTCTTGATAGTTTTGGTTTTGGTTTTGTTTTTGTTTGTTTGTTTATTTTATGTTTCCTCACTCCAGAAAAGTATTACTCTAAAGTTTCACTCTATTTTCCACCCACTTTCTGGGTCAAAAGAAACCATTTACAATTCCATGAGAAAACCTTCTTAGTGCTTAACTGTCAATCATAGGGATCAGCGATCTGTGTCCACTTCGTACAAGAACCCAGTACCAGGCATCAGAACCCTGTTGTACGAGGTACTCTGCACAAAAACCCGCCATTTGTCAAACGACGTGGGCTTGATTTTATTTGCCCCTCCCGCTCCGATCATTGCGCATGCTTCAGGTCCAGTAAACATGTCCCCGGAGGCCTTGTCCACCAAAACGACTTCCTTCTTGTCCGAAATTTTTTCTGGCTTCGTGAACTCGTAAAACCCACGTCCTGTTTTGAAGGGAAGGTCGTTCTTCTCGACGAAAGAGCGAATGTCGCCGCGTTCGTCGACTTCCAGGATCTGGCGATGAAAAACGTATGAAGTGAGCTGTCTGAGCCACTTCAGCGTTACAATTGATCAGTTTAGAGGGCCGTGTTACAATGTACTGTTCGCTACATTCAAAAGTTTGTTCAATTGAAATCTTCCCCCTCTTCTTGAACCAACTGATATAGTAAAATAAACTAGTTTATGTTCACGGGCATGAAAGAGTTTTGGGCCAGACTCATTCGACCAATAAGAGAGTGCGTACTTTCTTAAATACCCTACCCAATCGACCAATGAGAGCGCGCGTCCTATCTTAGATATCCTGTTCTTTCATATGTAACGCACCGTGATGTCATTTACCTGAAATCGAGACGGATTGACCGGTTCCAGTCCCTCGTGATCACTTCCACCGGTGTAGGTACTGGTGCTCCTACCGGCTAGAGTGTCAAACAAGGCATGCAAGTTACGATTCAACCCAGAGCCCTTTGACCTTGACTTGACCTCTGCCTCATAAGCTTCCAGTTGCTCCACTCCCTGTTCTCGATAGCAAATGGCCGTTAGGAAATCGACGATGGAAGCGAATTGATCTAGCTTCAAGTGCCAACCACAGGTAAACTCAGCGATTTTACGATAGAAGGTGTCAGAGCCACCGTAGTTAAGACACTGGACCGAGTAAATCCGCACGCCCATCTCATTGTAGAGTTTCTTAGCTTCCTCCTTCCAGTCAATTTTCAGTGTGTTCAAGTGGTACGAAGGGGGATGGGGTGAGGCGTCGCCTATTATCACTAACGAACGTTGGGAGTCTGGTGTCCAGGACAGCTCTTCACGAACCTTAGATAAGAACAAAAACACTCCATAAGAACCACACGCAACAGTAGGAAAGGGAAAAGGAAACTTTTTTCGGCCATAAATTTTTTTAAATACAAGAGTAAGACTAAATGCATTTGACTATTAATACATTAATTCCTTTCTGAACATTCAAAACTGCATTGTTTGACAGCTTTTAATTCTATGATCTCACATTTTATACCAGATTTACATCGTACGAAGTGAGTTTGATTTTAATGGAATAAAAAAGACTGGGAAATGATACAGAGGTAACCTATGCTTCAAGCCGTCAACCACAGATTTGCATTAAAGTTCGCGAATTTTGGAAGACGTCAGCAAAAGTTATCAGGACCAAACTCCAAAGGACTAAGTCTTAACACAGAGTTCACCCTTTCACTCCCAGGATCTCATCAGTAATTCTCCTTACTGTCTGCCATACAATTCTTATAATGTTAGTTTGGAGAATTTGGCGTTGCATCAACTAATAATCCCCTAATTGATATATTTCTTTGTACCCATCGCTTGTCTGCTTGATATTGTATCGGAGATATTGATATTGTAAGGAGAAATTCTGTCTTGATCACTCATGGGAGTTAAAGAGCCGGTTATTTAAACAGAGCTTAGCCGTTGTTTAACTAAACCGCGTTCTAAGCTGCCTTCAATTTAGCCGAACCTTTCATCTGAACATTTCTTTTCGTGAACATTGTCAATAGAGCCGAAAGCTAACTGTGGAAGGATATTTATTTAATTACATCTACCCTCTTATAGAGAAAGCCTGAGGCTCACTGCTTGCATAAACAGCGGTTTGGTTTAGACCTCGTGTATCATGGAGCCCTAGTGAGATGCCGAGGGTTACCTGAAGTAGACTTTAAATTCATTTCAAGAGAAGTAACACTATTCGAGGAATCTTCTTGTTACAGAAAACAAGACAAGCTCCTGCAGCTAAGAAGTCCGATTTAATCTTTCTTTGCGCATCCAACGAGCCGAGGTGACAGGGCATGCTGGATTTCAATTTCTTTTTTTACTATTTGACTGTTTGTTTGTTAACTTTTTTTGGTTCAATTCGCTTGAGCTTGCGAGAGCTCCCACAAAGCAGGACCCCCACCCCCTGCGTTCCGTTCACGCCTGTTAGTTTACCGCGCTCTGCCCGACGATTGAAGTAGATTGAAATGGATGGTCTGTGAATATGTTTCTTAAAAATTGTTTTACTGGTTAGATTAGATAGGAGGAGGTAAGCAACCATGCAGTTTTTTAGTAAAAATTGTGTGGCCACAACTTAAAAGTAAGACGCTCCTTTTATTTATCCTCATGCCACTCTTCTCCTGTGTCCACCCCCCTTAAATTCACTCATACCAGGTGCTTGAGGACGTGTCCATATGGTAAGATAAATTCCTAATCTGAAAATCACATTTATGCTTACCACTATTTTGCAAAACTGCCCACCCCCCTTCTCCTAATCTGTCACATTCAAAATGTGACATAGATGAAAATTGGTGAAAGGATTTGATTGGTGTAGCAAAGAAGACAACTGCCATTATTTCATTTTCCTTTAAATGTTCCAATTAGATATATTCAATTGAAAAAAAAAGTAAAAACATGATGACCAACTATAAAACCATCTTTGCCAAAAAAATGTCACTCACCTGTCTAAGAACAAGTTCATAGCATTCATCTGAATCATATCCACATGTTGATGATACATTCTTGATAAAGTTACATATTTTCTTTTTGTCTGTACTGAAGTCTACCCATTTTGTATCATAAGTTGATTCTTTATCTTGATAGTCGCCATGAGCAAAGACAGCAATGCGAATCCCAGGAATTTCTCTGAAGAGGCGAGTGACTGTTTCTTCAACCCTCTTTCTGACCTGGAAAACCCAATAAATAAGTTTTGGAAGCTAAATTATTGGCAGAGTAAATAAGGAGTAGTATCATCATTATTAGAAGTTTGGTAATAGAAAGCCTTGTTCTGGCATGACTGTTTGAGCAATTTTCCATTCCAGCTTTAAATCATCATGTGGTTGGTATAGAGGTCTCTCTTGTGAATCAATAATTAGTTATTAATTAATTATTAGTGTTGTATGTTGAGAACATTTTTATGGCTGGCTATTGCATTAAGTTTGATTCCAGGGATTCCTCTTCTTCAAGTACCCTGGAATGCATATGAAACTTCCAACATGCAAATATCCAGAAAACAAAAATTTGACATCCACAAATTTTTCAGTAATTCTGGAATCACTGACTGGATAAACATGTCTTATTTATTCAAGGACCTTTATGGAAATAAAATTGTAAACAAGGAATATAAGGTAGAGCCAAGGGTATTTTTCAGTTTCTTGGTTTTTTTGTATGACTGAAATTCTTCTCTCAATTTTTTAGCATTAGAGACTGTTAAGAATGAATTGGAGCAAAAGAATGTGTTTGCCAGCTGTACAATTTAAACCTTTAAACTCCCAGAAGTGATTAACATGTAACTTCTCCCAATAGTATTCATACATTATTCTGCAAAAAGGTAGTGAGATTTTTTACTCAAACTTATCAGGTTCAAGGCATTATCTTGATTGAACACCGAATTCTCATAACCAAATTAAAAAGAAATGTGTAGCAGCTAGAGGTGAGAATTAACAATCAGATCTTAGGAGTTAAAAGGTTAAAAGTAATTCAAAAATAAAAAAAAAAGGACAAAATGAAAAACAGATGATAGGGGAGTTTAGAAAGAAGTTAACTTAAGGTAATATTAAGATAAAGCTACAATTTGGATCTCAGAAAAATTAGTTTAGGAGGGAAAGGCATCAAAAACAAGTAAAAACTGTACATTGCAAACCATTAACCAGCTTAGCTTAGCCAATGAGATTCCAGAATTTGGTACCTTGTACAAAGTTTGAATATTTAGGACTTAACCACAATTTTACAAGACACAGCTCTCTAGACAAGTAGTTCTTTGTCACCTGAGTGAGGCAGGGGTACATTGATCCTGTGGTATCAAATGAGAATACTATTTCTTTGACGTCAGCTCCTCCTGATGCTGCACTTGCTGCTGCTGGTTTTGCTTTCTTAGCTGGTGATGATGCTTTATCTTCCTTCTTTACCTCTGAGTCAACTGTTGGCTTCTAAAAATGCAAAATAACTCAAGGTTCATGGCTGAAAAATCATTGAAGATTTTTTTACACTTTATTAAGTCATATACAAGCACTAGGGGAGCAGGGATTGACTGCTGAGAGCAATTACTTCCCACTGCCACCAAATTCCTAAGCTTGGTTTTATGGATCAAGCCTAAATAAGAAAGGCAATCCCACATGAGACTTCACACTGACAACATCCACAAGGACAGTGGAATAGCAATCTTAGAAGCATGAGGGCTGCTGATGTGGAAAAAAAAAAACCACAACCGACTGGAAGAGCTGTGCAACTATGGACCACAGAGGGAGCACTTAATGAAAATGGGCTAATAACAGCTGTGAAATAAAAGCCAATCAGAGCTGTACAGGATTGTTCATGAGATTACACAATCATATTCAGTTGACCTCATCACCTGAGGAAGACTCCCAGTATGCACGCCAATTAAAATATCACAATTGGCATGGGAAGTGATAACATGAAACAATCATTAGAAGTGCATTTACCACAATGACTAACTGCAACCTGTTTTTATGCTATTACAGCTATACTTTACCCTTCACACCCTAACATCAGTATGCATGTCCTCCATACTGTTTTCTATACATTTCTTCAGTTGTACTCAAGGAGAATTTGTTTAACAATCAAGAGCTTTGTTGGTGATCATTTCCATTATTCTCAAGACCTTAATGAGTGATTCAAGGGTGAAATTGTAAGGGGAAATTAGATGCTAGTCATTCAGGGTTCAAAGGGTTAATAGCTTAATGAAAATTTCAATAGTTTTATATTTAATCAAAATGCAGTGATGAAAATTGACACCTCTTCTGCTTTTTTGCGCTTTCCTCTGCCCACTCCTCGGCTTGTGCTGGGTTTCTCCTTGGCATCATCTGCAGAAATTGCTGCTGCTGGTTTTGCTGCCTCCACTTCTGACGAGACAACTCCACCTTCTCCTGTGTCATATAAGAACTCTGTATCTGGCATCAAGACACGGTTGTATGAGGTTGACTGTACAAACACATCAAAATCCTCCAATTTATCCTTGTCTAATTTAAATTTTGCTGTTTCCTTTCCAATCCCAAGTAATTCACGAACCTAAAAATATGAATGAAAAACTTCAATAGTTTAATACCTTTATCAAAGCATATATTTAATTTGATGATCATTTCCAATTTGGCAATAAATAGGCACTCATAAATTTTTCAAAGGTTTCTAATTCCATTCGAGCCTTTGAAAATGTTCTCTTACATACCTTATCTAACTTGTACTCGGAGCATAGATTCAACTTAATCTAAGTTGATCATACCTATCAAAGTTTTGTCAGCATTAAAAGTTGAAAGTTTCAGAGTATGTTTGTCCTGAAACTGGTTCAAAACTCAAGCTGGTAATCAATTCCCAAGCACTGCTAACATAAATTTAAAATCGAAGGCTCGTTTAAGAATTAAACAGTTGTTTATGGAAATTTTAACAGCTGTGCACCATAACTTTGTTTCCATTTTCAGAAATTAACTTCCAGCAGAAAACAAAACTGATTTTGGTAGCGGGTCTAATTTGTTTTGCTGCAATATGTAACTGATAATACAAAAAGAACGGCGATCAAATCCTGTTTATAGGTGCAAAAGGAAGATAAACGTTGGCTCAATCGATTCATCTGCTTCGTTAATGGATAAAAATAACGCCGCAATAACGTTACCAAGATGCAACTCATATCAGTACCTGAAGTTATTTCAAAGTAATGAATTAATTTTACCTCGTCTCCAGAAGCCATAGTGTCGTCCGATTTTCGTCTCACGACAATCTCTTTGTGGAACTGTATCGTCTCCGGCTTTGTCAGTTGATAGAATCCTCGTCCAGTTGCAAATTTCAGCTTGTGTTTTTCCACGAAGTTTTTGATCGAGATCCGCTCATTTACCTTCAATGTTTTGAAGCGCGAGGTGCTTATGACTTCGGTAGCAGCGGCCGCTTTGGGCTTTCCTCTTTTAGGAGGCATTTTTTTGTTTAAAAATGGAAGGGAAATAAGATTTTCTTTGATGGAGTTTCGTACAAATTAGCTGAGCTGAAGACAAACAGATGCTATCATTTCGAACGAGGAACTTTCAAATTTAACTAGGGAGGGGTGCGATGTAGGTTTGTTATCCCCATGATGAAAGATTTTAAAGCGAAGGTTTTCTCAAGGTACTGTTATTATTAGAAATAAATTTCTTAAGCCCTAGAGAAAAGTAAAGTATACGGGAATCTTCCAAACTTAAAGAAATTTTTCAAAAGTATAAATGTTTACCACCCTCTCCACCCTAATCAAATTAATCTTTTGCGTAAATGGGGTGTGTTCGATGGATCAGCCAATCCGCATCGTCTTATATTTAACATCTTAGGTACCATTCCCCCGGGCAATTGGCAAGACTGAAAAGAATGAAACAAGACGTTTTCTTTCTTAATTTTATTTTAACGAAGAAGTGATTAGCTGTTTATGATACTCAGTTCAAATTAGCAACACTAACGAAAAAAGAAAAGTTCTGTTTTTTTTTTCCGTGGCACCGGCCCCTGATCAATTGTCTTCGGGTTTCATCCTATCTATTTAAAGATACTTCTTCGTAAGACTTCGAAAAAAAAACATCAAAACAAAACAAAAAGCCTTGAAATACCATAAGGTACCTCCTTTACACGTAACTCCTCGTATTTATTGATGGTTGAATTTCCGCTTAGTTTCTACTTCAAAGTTGAATCGTCAAAGTCATGAAATATTTCGGGCCGATCGAATACATTTCTTTGGTGATCGGGACGATCACGATCGTTCAGATGTTTCCGAGTCCTGTTCAATCGTCGCGTTCGTTTGGCACTATTTGGGGAAGTGTTTTGATCTAATCGCCCCTACAACTACGAATTTAATTTCCTCTCTTTATTTTCATTAATTTTTTTTTGTGTGCCACAAAACGGAAACACATCCAACACTTGCCTCGTAGATCTCCGCCAGGGTTCCACAACAAGCTTCTAACATCATGAGATAGACCTAGTTAACGACTAGAAAAAAGAGAAAAAAGATGGAGCAAAATTGATAGAAGAGACTTAAAAAATCTGATTAATACTTTTCTCGTACTCAATAGATTCAATACATTCTTCTCACCTCTAAATTTTCTAAATTTGGCAAGTGCCTAAATGTAACTGAAGCAAAACAAGGTCAGACTAGATTTTTCAAATCTATTTGACTCATAGTGTTTCTTTACGCCTGATGTTGCAACAGTGTAAAGAGACGAAATGAAGGTTTCATCACTATCAAGAGATTATGATCTCTTGTCACTACGTAGAAGCTAGATTACGGGCAGTCCCTCCTTTTCTGCGAGGTTCGTCGCGCAAGTGAAAAATTAGTTGCGAAAAAAAGATTTTGTACGCGTCCCACGCGAAACTCTGAGAATAACAAGCACGAAACTAAATTTTTTTCACTGGTTTTTTTTTGTTTGTTTTTTTATAACTCGCACGACGGACTTCGCCGAAAAGGAGGAACTGCTCGCATTTTACACTATGACTTGATACACACTTCGTACATGTCGTAAATCTTTGGAATGGTAAAGGCTCCAATATATGCTAAAAAACAAAACGAGGTAAGATACAAAATTTTTATTCGAGTTCCGCAAGTGATGTGAGATTTTACTGATTCTATTTTACTTCGTATTGCGATTGGTCTATGAAACTCGCACCTCCTTCTCCAACGAGCAGATCCGAATTTTTTAGACCCAGTTTGATTTATGTTAGTCACCTGCGTTTTCCCGCGCTTGATGTCAGCTATGCGCGTTTACTTAGAGTTTTTCTCCCTAACCTTTGGCTCTGATTGGCCAATGGTATTCCTCTTGCTCTGGTTTCATGATACTTTATCAAAATACGCTCCGCAACATGAAAGTCCTTCGGGAATGAAAATTCTGGCCCTTGTCTAGCTTGCAAGTAGGCATTCATTATTAGCACTTCGGTGAGAGGGATTTTTGGCCCTCAGGAAAATACGTAGGCAACAGGTCTGCAAATGGTCTAGCACTAATCACTAATGTACGACTCTGCGCAAACCCCTCACTGACTCACCTCAAGTCTTCTGCAAGCGGAGAAACGCGCGTCCTGCAGCACTAATAATAAGGACCTAGTAGCAAGCTAACTCTTGTCTAGTTTTCATGCTCAAACCTTCGAAGTTGGCAATCTAACGATAAGAGATTACTATACCGTATTCTTCCCAGGAAGGACTTCAGTTTTACGAAGAGAACCTAACTGGGAGAACTTAAGTCTTTGAACCTACCCATGAATGCCAAAGCAATTCTACTGAACCATTTAGCCATGTAAGAGAGAACAAACAAGGCTACTACGTCAAGTACCAACTGGAAACTTTGAACTGAGTTTGCGGTGAATTCCATATTAGCTTGCCCTGAGTGATCAACGTCAATCAATTCTTAAGTCGAGTGAAATACAATTTCCAGAGCGATCGCATCCATGTGAAAGAGTACACGCATATACGTGTAGTGAATGACATTAAAAGCTGTCATCACATCTCCACCGAAACTCATTCTACAATTAAGACTACAAACCTTCAGTGAATCTGGCAGATCTTCCACTAAAAAGAGTGCCCCTAGCTTTGTCGTCATGGCGATAGCAAACCCAGAAACTTTCTTACCGACAAGATCCACCTTTTGAGGGAAAATTTGGAAAAAATTAGTTAACTTCATCATACTGAAATTTAGTAACTTTGCAATCTCCGCCCTCTCCAAGCAACTGCATTTATTGTAATAACTAACACATTTCTACTCTCTTATTGGTATTCATATTCTCCTCACTGATCTCCTTACATTTCCTTTGTTACTGACAAGGAGAATTTGCTTGACAATCAGGAGCTTCCTAAGCTTGTGATCATTTCCTTTATTCTCACGACCTTTACATTCGATTCAAGGGTGATACTGTGAGGAGAATTTAGAAACCAGTCAATCTTGGGGGCTAAAGCGTTAAAGTCTCGAAAATTAGCCTTCAGATGTATCATTAGTTTGATTTCTTAAGACGCAATACTTTATCCTACAAATTGTGCCAGGTATACTTGCCTTATCTTTGAAAACATTGATGTCCTTGTTTAAATACACCCTAAGATAGAAAATCGGTGGAGAAACTTAGGATTTAAAGTATTGTCTTGCTAATGCTTTAATGATAATCATGATAATATTTTATGAGGGAACCCAACTCGCCAATATAGTTTTTAGTGATGCCCCGAATACTTTATCTCTGAAAATGGTATGTACACTGTTTGCACACACTTTGGAGCTGAGGGTAGGAATTGAGAAGCGTTTTTAATCAGACGCGATTTTTTAGGAAATAATATAACTACGCTCAAGCATGCCCATGTCGGAGAGATTCCTGTTTTGCTCTTCCTATGCAGTTTCCTCGATTTGGTTGGCTTTGAAAATCTTGTGCTCGCTTCTTAACCAATCAGATAAAAAAACTAAGAGCAGGAGCGCGCACCTTGGTTTTTTACGCTATTCCCATCACGTGTCTTTACTCAAAGCGCTCTTTAGCTCCTGATGATTCACCTTTGTTTTGATTGGTCGTCTTTTCTAAACTCGTTTTGGTACCAGGTGCAGGCACGTGTGCGAATGTTGTACACACTAAGTGACGTGCTTTCAGGCTTTTAGAGCCAAGTTGTCTTACAAGAGTAAAAAATGCTCAAAAGCGAATGGTAAATTAGCAGGAAACCCGTAATTAGATCAACTTTGTCTGCGAAAATTCTCGTGTTTTTCTCTTCCCTTTTTTTGTTTCCTTTCACAGATTTCTATGACCGTTTCAAGTTTTTCTTCCACATAGCTTGCGTGACAGCAGTTGACTCTTATGTTTTTCTTATGTAGGACTTAATTATGACTCGAGACAACAGGAAATGCTTTGCGTCTCAAATTGAAGAATGTCCATGAAAATGAACGCTTTGACAGTCCCATTTAAATGCGGTGGTTACAATTTTAAACAAAATATAAGCAAGCAACTGGTGTTGACAACCGTGTCATACGAAAAGATGTACATTAAAAAAAAAGTAGTCCCCTAGTGAATCATACAGTGAATCATACAGTGTATCATGTTAACATGTTAACGTCGAGTCCATTACAACCACTCTGGAGGCTTTCGTGACACCTGAGCACACCAGAAAAACATATGTGGGTGTTGTTGAATATATTCAAATTAGTTTATGTATAGGTTAGATCATTTTCAAGGCGGTCAAAGCATACCATTTCATTTTCGCTGAGACTAACTCACTTGCGACAAATTTAGCCATTGTCTAAGAAAAACGTAGTGGCTACCCACCTTAAACACGGATAAAAAAATGAAAGTTTCTCAATTTGAAAACAATCGTTGCTCTTAATTTTACAATTTTTCCGTCTTTTGAAGAGTTTACCACTAACAGAATTAGAATTTTAATTCAAGGAAAAAAAGAGCAAATATCTACACTGATTCAGTGATTTCATACCGTCATAACTTATTTTAATCACAGCAACGACAGACTGATTCCGTGTGCAAAATTCGTTTCCTCCAGGATAAACCAAACCAAGATATTTCCATTCAATACTTCATTAAATAAACAAATGTTTGCATGTTTTAGTATGCAGGCGAGACAACACTGTCAGCGTAGGTACTTAATTAATAGAAAGACACAAAGAAAAAACTCTGGACGTCAACTGGCCTGTATGTTTTTAAATCTGCTTGTTCCCCTTTCAAATTTTTCCAAGCATTTCGATGTACTAGAATTGTCGGATCCAACACCTCATGAACCCCATAAAAAAAATTAATAAAATTTATGTCGAATACCCATCTAGATGGAAATATCAGACTTCTTATTATGCAAAAATTTTCTCCAGACGATAAACTACGTTAAAACCGAAATTTAGAGGTGCAAATCATTTTGTTGAGTACTTGAAGTTATATCCGGAATCAGTTGAAAATTTCGTTGATGGTCAAAATTAGAAAAACTTGACGATCATTCCAAATAAAATTCATAGTAAGTCAACCTTCGTTTTCATCACTAATCATACTCAA